ATTTTAAATTTGAAATTTGATTTATTTGTGATGTTTACATCTTTCAACGTATGTACGCACTCTTTACATTCAATTAATTTTATTCTACATAGTTTTCTTTTGAATTCAAAGGGAGAAAAATAGAGAGAGAAGAAAAAAATTTGTAGGAAAATTTGTGTAAAACAAAGTTGTAAATCTACTACATACTTAGCAAATTAGTTAAGATTTTTGCAAAACATTTGACGATTTTCTAATATGTTCAAATTTATATCATGTCATAACTCGAAATGTCGTATTAGAAGATGTCGTATCTCGAGGACTTAGTGTACTTAAATTAGGGTTGCAATTCAAATACATTTTCTTTAGTAAAACAAAAATTTAGGGAATTTTCTATAAGGGAAATTTGTGTTTTGATTTTGTTCTTACTTTTTCTATTAATATACGGGGCCTTTTTATAAACGCAGATCATTATAAACTTATAGCGTAAAATGCAATTTATTGAGCCTTATTCTAGTTGTCGCGTCACTTACGTGACATTTGTCGTTGTCGCTGTCACATCATTTGAAATGTGGTATTCTGGTTGTCGAGTGACGTGAGTGCGAGAAATAATCGAAAATGAAACGTTTCAAGTGAAATTGATACATTTTAAAAAGAAATTTCGGCGAGTAAAATTCAAACAAAAAAAATTTTCAGTGTATATATTTATATTTTTAAATAATAAAAAATGTCATTTGCATTTACGAATTCATCTCATTCCGGTAGTGATGAAATTAAAAAAAAAAAAACAATTAAGGATCGAAAGACTTAAGATTAGCGACAGCTCTAAAAAGGAGGTCTTTAAATATTTACTGAATATATTAGAGGGAAAAGCAAGTACCCGTAAAAGGCGTGTCCTGTCATGAAATTTCCAATTCATTAAATTTATAAATACTTTCACGCTAAAAACAAAAATTAAATTATATAGTTTATGACTTGATTTATGTATAAAATTAATTTTTTTATGATTTTGTTAAATTCTTTTGTTTTAACTTGCATTTTTGGTGAATCCTTCTTTCTTGTCACTTGTAAATACTTTTCGACAAAAAACGTCGTTTCACTACGACATATCTCGCATCAGAACGACAACTGGAATATGGCTGAAACACATTTTCCCGCTATTCCCTGACGATTGTCACTGCGATCGCCGCTTAGAATATGAAATTCAAGTCGTAATGACAATTGTCGCTCTACTTCGACAACTAGAATAAGGCTCATTATTTTATCTTCACAAACAAATATTGGTAATCTATGCTTATTCATAAAAATTGCTACATAATCAGTTATATAACGCAGTATCAACTGTTTTGTTTGAAAAAATGTTTCTTAATGGAATGAAAATTTTTATATGAGTTAGTTTGTTTTACGATATTGATAAACTCACTTTCTTAATTCACTACATTAAATTTAAAAAATGTAGTAGATTTCATTATATTTTTAAACAAGCCAACTGCAACACTGGTATGTGAAATGAAGTGTAAAAGAGTTATACACTTTAAGAGTTATACATGCCTTGAAAGAAGTAAACTGCAGCATTAAAAAGCTAAAATTTTGATTAAGCAATCACAACATAGAGTAGAAATATTTTTTATATATTTTCTCATGATTTTAATTTAAATTACAAATTAATTTTAAAGTAATAAAACGCAATTTATAAAATCGGCAATGAATTTAATTACCAAAATTCGTGTTTGTCAGAAAACAAATACTATGTATGTAAAATTAAGCTAGCTTAGATTTAAAATTCCATTTAATAGCTACAACGGAATAATTAATTTTATTGAAGTTAATTTCTTAATTATAAATTAATTCAAATTGAAGAATAAGATAAAATTGATCAGAATTGTAAAGACAAGTTTAATAATATGTAAAAAGACAGTCAAAGAATAAGTTGACATTAAATCAGCATATTCGAAGGCATACCTACAATTTAATAGTTATTAATCCATATATGAGTTATTCTAAGTATTTAAATATTTTCAAATTCAATTATTTTAACTTGATATTCGAAAAATTCATATACTAAGCAAAAACTAGAGAAAATTTAAGCTGGCAAACAATATTATCGTAAAATAATTTTTATTCATTTCCGTAGATCAAACTGAAAATGGTTACTAAAATGTTATTCATCTATTAAAACCTTTAGACCTATTCGGCAATAAAATTTTAACTATTAGATAAAATACATACATACTTTTCGAATTAGTTTACACTCAAACAAATATCTCACGAGTTATAGTTTATGAAATTAGAAAATTTATTTAGTGAATATTCCCGACTTTAATGCAATTAAATTACATTTAAGGTCTTAATATAACTATGAGGTCAAAAATACATAACTATATTTGATATCACATACATATACATATTTTCCAATTTTACATTTTCTATGCACTTGTATACACGGTGATTCAATAAAGAATACAATATTATATATATCATTGTTTAGGGCACCAAAAATAGTAAACATTTTATTAGGGACCTTAAAATCTGGACATAGAAATGGTTTCTATGCTATATCTCTTGTACTGTAAAAGATTTTTTATTGTTCGAGAACTTAAATTGAAGCTTAATAAAGTGATCAAAATTCAGTAACAAAAAATTTAAAGTTTCTGAAACTTTCACAGAAAATTGTAGAGGAGAAAAAAAATTTAAAAAAATAGAAAAAATTGATGTTTTTTCAAAGTTTGAATGTACATATCGAATTCCGAAAGTACATCAAATATAAAACCAAATAATATGTTGCTTTCAAGCTCTCTACTAACCCTTTCAGGAACTGTTCAGCTGAAACATTTATGTTTTTCAGAAGGGAAGTTATAAGCAAAAAAGTTTAGCCAAGTAAAAATTTCGTGAAAATTCATTAAAATCCATGTATCTTGGAAACCGTTGAGTTTTGCGACAATTTTTGACTTTCAATCAAAAATTTTATCCATTTTTGATGCCCTAAACAATTAGTATCCTTACTGAATCACCCTATACATAATCATTTGTTTGATGAAACTTTAATAATTTTTTTTTTATTTTCTTTATGTGAAAACTTAAGCACGCTGAAAATGTTCATTTAATAAATTTAACGGCAATTACACAAGTACACCTACATAATTATTGTCGTGATTATTTTTCGTTTATTTCATATAAAAAAGCATTATAAACTTTATGGTAAAACATAAATCAAATAAATTATTTTCACTTACGTTAAATATTTTGAAAGTTTATCTATTTAATTATCGCTTCACGATTTTTACCATGAAACCAAAATTTCTATACATAAAATATTTTTTAGCAAAATAAAAATCCAAAAAGCCGACGAATTAATCTCACGTTTATTTGTAAAAATTGCAATAAACTTATTTTTATTGTTTTTTAATTTTATAGGTACCACAAATACTTAATGTTAAAGGGTTATAAAAATTTTTTTAAATTATTTTCGAAATTTTTTTCTTATTTTAATTTTTTGGAAATCCTCAGACGAAACCTCAATAAAAATATACAATTTAACAAATAATGACTTTCCTTCCAGCAATTCATTTGCACTTTTCTTTTTAATGATTAAACACGAATTTATCATGAAATCTTATTTTTTATCAAAAAAAAATTTGTTTTTTTTTTAATTTTAAAGTAAATTAATATAATATTCTTATCATAATATTACGCACATATTCAGTTTGTCTGTTATAAGAAATTTTTATTTAACTTTATAAAAAACACGCATGCGTCTGAGACACTTTGCGCAAAAATAAGAGAAAATGATGACGTTTTCATTTTTGAGAGAAAATGGTGAGTTTTTTTTCAAATTTTATACCAGATAGACCTACTGACTTGATACATTTGTATGTGTTAAATCAAAAATAATAATTACATTCAACAATGTTAGGCTACTAATGCTATATTATTCGAAATTTTCTGATAAGAATAATTTTACGTAAACAGACAGGAACTTAAGATCGCCCCATTGCCGTAGGTGACTTTCTCTGATATAGTTTTCATTCATCAACTTGTAATCAGGAACATATGATTGCCTCGGTTTTATTATTTCGAGTTTCTTACAGAGAGAATCCAAATAACTTGAGATCGGTCGAGCTTTTTAACGTGCCGCGTGATAGTACGGACTATATGTGAACCGGTGACGCTTATGTTTCGTGAAATTAACTTGTATTCGTCTGTTTTTTCTACGAAGCTTAAGTAAGAGGGCCAAACTTTACGGTAGCATTGATTTTATTTAATTTATTTTTAATTTTGTGACACGCTTTCAATTGACTCGCCGTGCAGTAGTTGTATACGTTTGAATTTTGTTGAATTTTGCTGTTTATTTCTTAATTTACCTATTAATCTTGAATTGTTGCTACGAATATTATCTTTTTCTCTCCTTTTCCATTTGCTTTCATTTTCCATCTATAAATTATGACAATTTTAGTAATAGTTATACAAATAGCTATACATACGTTTATTAACTAAGTGATGTTTATTTTGTTATACTAGACACTGTTATATAAACTGCATATACAACTACAAAAATATATACGTTTTTTACAAATTAAGAATAAACTTATATATAACACTATATTTATTTTGAGCTCTACATAAATTTGATATCTTTTTTATGTATGCAATCATAAAATGGAAAACCATAAGCTTTATAACAATATTTTTTTATTGTATAATTCTGATTCACTGCTATAACAATACTATTATCAATATAACAATACTATTATGCGTATATCAAATTTTATAATTAAATTTCAAATAAATTTTGGACTCCTACATGTATACGACACTTCTATATGTATATGCATTCAAAAATTAATATATTTTCCTCGATATTCTACAATTATATACGATAAGAATTTATTATTTTCTAATATTGATAAGCTACATAATTTGAAAATACAATAGAATAATAAAATTATAAATTAAAATATAATTAATTAAATTTAATTTGATTATTAACAATTTTCTCTTTTATTTTTTTTTTTAATAAATTACAGCTGGACACGAACATTCACATGATCATGGACATAGTCATGGAGATGGTGCACATGGGCATAGTTCAAAAAATCATGATAATCAAAATGATGATGATATTGATTATACAAAAAAATCAATACAAGAACAACTTGAAATTATACGTGCTGCTGGAAGAGAATTATTAGAGAAAAATCATTATCAACTTCATCATTTACAACATCAGAATACAAATCATGATCATCATCATCAACATCATGAATAGAAAAAAATCATAATGAATTACGATAATAATAGTATTTTTTTAAAATATATAAAAATTAGTGATTTTAAAAAAGAATTTTTGTATTTAATTTCTGTTCGATTACAAAATGAAAATTGCCATCCGGAAGCAATAATTTTTTGATAAAAAACAAAATAAACAAAAATTTTTTTTTTTTTAATATTGTAAAACGTTTTGAAGAAAATTTGCTACAAATGACGTGTATAATAAATATTTTATTGGTTTTACAAAAAATTGCCTCCAATTTTAAATAAATGTGAAAATTTAGATTACTTAATTAATAATTGTACACAAATTGTAATTATTTTATAAAAATAATTTAATTGATATTTTCCAATTTTAAATAATATTGTAGATTTTATTAAGACTTTACTGTATAGCTAATATAATAAAATATTATATATAGAGTTTAAAATTATATAAAATAGAATCTTAAATTTTAAGAATTTTTAATTTTCACGAAAAATAAACAAAACATTTAAAGTTATTATAATAGTAAGTTTGATATTAGAAAATAAATTAAAAATTAATAAATAAAAAAATTATAAAAAATAAAATTCTTTTATGAAATTATTCCTAGTCTATTGAAAATTCTACAAATCTAACTACACAAATAAACTTTAACAACATCTTGAATTTTTTTCACAATTAAAATATTAACCTTAACTTTTAAACACCTTATAAATTTCATCGATTTTTAAAATCAATGAATTAATTAAAATTCAATATTCGATTCTATATTTTTCTTCATAAAAAAGATTTAAGGCCAAAAAACAATTTTGTTTTTGCATTAAATCACCCCAGTCTACCTTAAATCAGAAGTAGAACATTGTGTTTGCTAAAAAAACAAAAAGAACAAAAGCAAATTCTCTTCCTTTTTGTCTCCTTTTTCGTCCCGACTACTATAAGAACCGTTACATTTTACTGATTCGTAAAAACAAAAACAAAATACAATTATTTTTTTTTTGTTATAAATGATTCTTATGGTTTCCTTTCTTTATTATATTTTGCACAAATTACTAAAAACTTACATTGACTTATTAATAAGCACAATATAATATTGTGTAAAGTAAATAAGGATAAGGCAAATATATCTATGTATATATAATATTAATACATACATGCACATATATCGCACATTTGCGAGAATAATGACATAAGTAAAAAATGCTGAGTCGCAAACTTACTTTTATTACTATTATATTTTAATATATAAAGATTTTCTGTAACAAAATAATACAAAAAAATTTGTTCATAATATACTTGTAGAATAGTTCCACACCGCTTTCGTTAGTAATTTACACTAGACTATGAATATTTTAAATTCCGGAAATCAAAATTAATTTTTTGAGTTGGGCTGTTATTCTTCCCAATGTGCGATATGTATAAATGTACATAAATATTTAAAGGGCACCCAGTTAGTTCTTTTTTTAAAAAAAAAATCCTTGTCTCTCCTTATACAAATAAGGTAGCTACAAATACTCATAACAAATATGAGAGAATCGAAATCGTAATCTATTTTTCATATAAAAGGTAAGTTTGCTAAATAGCACTTGTATCTGCTAACATATAAATAATTGAAATTTAATTTTGAATACGCACCAACAGTAAACCATTCAAAACTACATATGTATATAGAAATTTTCAAATAGGTTATGAAATTTAGTCATAATTTTCTTAAATATAGCAAAAGTATATGTAATTAATTATAGGAAATTTGAAAAAAATTTGTATAGGTCCCTACTTACTTTAAACCAAATTGTCTACTAATAAATTTGTAATGTAAAGTTCTTGATATTGAACTCTTCTTCATATCGTAATGCAGCAATAAATAAAGATCAATAGAAAATCAAATACTTGAGTTTTTTGTACCCTATTCAAAAATTCTTTAAATCTATTTTAAAAGCTATTACTATTAAGGAAATTATAATTGAAAATTATGAAAAATCGAACAATTATTTTCTTTGCCATTATAAAGCGAAACTTTAAATAATTTTTGCTTATAGGGATTATTATATTGTTTAGTATGGTTGCCAAGGAAATTTTATTTGGTTCGTTTTATATAAACAACCCTCTTTTCCATATATGTACATACATACATATTCAATTATACCAACTATTCTGTCTACTTTTTAACATGCAATATAAATTCTACATATGAATGTGCATATACACACACCTACATAATACATACATACATATCCTTTTACTACTATTATTATACACTAAAAATAAAAAATAAAAAACAATGAAAAGGTTTTATTTTTATTTTAACATGACATTGTTAGATTTCTGATTTTTTCAATAACTTCTATGCTCTTTGTATTCCTGAGTTCCTTTAATTTTTTATTCATTAATATTATTTAGTAAAGTGCGTATTTGTATTAGTTAAATATTCATTTTGATCTCGGAACAAAAGAGTAACAAAAAAAAAAAAATATCTATTAAAAAGGACTAAATACAGAATTATTTTTATTACGTAACACTAACTGTTATCTATAATTTTCTACAGGATATTTACCAATATTAAATTCAAAATTAATTTTAAGTAATTCAAATATCAAGGATAATAATAACCATCATGTTGCCTACATATCATCATCATAATAACGATTCAATAATAATTCAATATAATAACAATAATGAATTTAAAAATGATATTTTAAAAACAAAAATAACAATATTATTTTTAATTGGAATTTTTTCAATAATATTCGGTTGCTTACCAATATTTTTTGATAGAATTTTATCAATAAAAAATTTCTTTACAAGAATATTTAAATATTTAAAAAAATCAAAATCAAAAAATAATAAAAATCAAAATGATGACCATCCAATGACGAATTATCAAAGTACAGGATTACCAAATCTACAAAATAGATTACCATCAACATCAGTTAATCAAAATCAATATATTGATAATAATAGTATAACAACACAACAATCATCATCATCCAAAGTATTTGTTAATCAAAAATTAAAAAAACATAAAAGTTTTCATCAATTAATTAAATTTTTATTATGTTTCGGTGGTGGTGTATTATTTTTTACATCATTTATACATTTGCATCCAGAAATTCGTGAAATATTTAAGAATTTAGAAAAAAGAAAAATATTTACAAATACAATCGATAGTATGGGTGGAATTCAAACATGTGAATTATTAATTTGTTGTGGATTTTTTTTAATTTATTTATTAGAAGAATTAATGCATTATTTAATTGGTATAAGAGAAAAGAAAAATAATTCAGAATTGATATTACATCATGCTTTAACAAAATGTAATCCATCAGTTTTATGGAGAAGAAATCGAAATTTAGATAAATGCCAACGTCAAAAAATTGATGAAGGAATAACGAAAAGGTAGGTTAATTATTTTATTGAATTTAGTAGATGATTTTAATAGTTAAAATTCAATATTTTTAACTGCCGATCTTATCAGTGTAAAGACCTAGAAAAACATAACTGATACAATGAAATTCTATTCAATCAATAAATAATTAAACATACATTAGTCTAATAATATGCAATACATATGATAATTTAATAATTTATTTTAAAAATTCTAAAATTATTTAACAATTTTCAATATTTCATTGTAACCAATTTGTATAATTTTAGAAAAAATGATGATCGTAACGATTTTTTAGACACGTATGAATGTCATTTTGGATTCGATCCAGATATGATTGTAATGGATGAATTTTCAAATAATTATAGAAGAGATTCCTTACCGATGGAGTGTCCATTATCATCGTTATCATCATCAAATTTTGGTGATCAACAACAAATTCAATCTACAATAAATTCTCATTCAATGTCTTATATTCATTTACAAGGTATTCAAGAATATGGTATAAATCATCCGTTATCAGAATCATCAACAACACTTCTTGTGGAAACTTTAGTATCTGCACCACCTCCAATACCTCCGCCACCATCACAAGCTGATATCGAAAATAAATATATTTCAAATAATTTTGAAGATAATCCAACAAAACAAAATCGTACCGGAAAAAGTGTTACATTTTCAATGGACCAAAATCTTAATAATAATATAAAAAAGAAATCAACAGAAAATCATAATTATCATAATACATCGCCAATACCATTTCAATTCGATAATGATAGACAAAATAATAACAATTATTCAAATTTACAAACAATATTAAGAGGTCTTGTTGCAATTTTTGCACTTTCAATTCATTCACTTTTTGAAGGACTAGCTGTTGGATTAGAAAAAAATATTTCAAGTATTTGGTATTTATTTTTAGCCATCGGTACACATAAATTTGTTATAATTTTTTGTATTGGAATCGAATTGGTTGCAGCTAAATTAAAACCATTATGGATTCTAATATATATTATAGGTTTTGCAATGGTCACACCATTTGGTATTCTTATTGGATCATTAATCGCACATTCATATGAAACAGATAAAAATGAAATTTTAAGTCACACTGAAATTACAAGTGAAGGAATTTTACTTACTATAGCTGCTATGCTACAAGCGGTCTCCGCTGGCACATTATTATATGTAATATTTTTTGAGATTATGGTTAAAGAAAGGCATCATCATCATCATTTTGAAGCCGAAGACAATAACTATTTAAATGGTAATGATAGAATTGGTCATTTACATCATTCGGCAGAAAGCTTAATTCAATGCTTTGCTGTTGGTTGTGGATTTATGTTTATGGTTGGCATACATGCTCTTATTTGTAAGTAATTAAAGTTACTTATATAATTCTTATATATTTTAATTATCTAATGTTTCAATTAATTTTTAGACAAAACTCCCCACAGACATGTTCATTAATATTACAAAAATTTTATGAAAGGAGGCATTTACATATTATATTGAAAATATGTGTATATTTTTCCTGAATTTACAATTTTTACATCACGGTATATATAACTCTTTTTTAACCACTATATTTTAAGCTAAAGTTATTCGAACCTTCCATATATGAGTTTATCTTGATGTACTTTACAATTGAATCACTTTAAATTTGTATTTGAAATATATTTTTGGAAATCGAATCAAACAAAATAAACCAATCATGTTGTGAACACGAAAAAATATTTTTTTTTTTTAATTAATTTAAATTAACCATCTAAAATTAGTTTTAAAATTTGTCTCATACGAAGTTTCAAATATACTGCATTATTAGAAAACTAAACGTTTTTTAAAATATTTCATAAAATACAAAATGTTTGTTATAACAATCTACAAAATCTGATCATTGATTATTTGCACAATATTTTGAAGGTCCGATTTTGCAGTTATGGTGAATAACAATTAAATAGCAGAAGTAAGTATTTGATCGATAAGTTCCTAATACACATAAAATATTTAATTGCGATTTTATTTCAATATTTGTGTCACGTTCAAATTCTGATCCAAAATTTAAATTTGAATGTAATACTCTAACTACAAAATAAAACTGTGTTCCAAAAAAACTTATACCTTATTTTTCATTTTAAATTTTGATATATTGAATGGTATAACATATTGTGTACAAATGATTCTGCAACCATGTGTTCGGATTAGCTACTAAACTAATTATGGAGCAGTTTGTATAAATGGATCTTCACAAATAACATCTAATATAGCTTTTTGAATTACAATCTGCAATTTTTCTCTCCTTTTTTTACTAAGTATTCTTAATTGACTTGCTACAAAATCACCAAATATTTGTGTTTCTCTAAATTCATTCTCTTCAATAAATTCCCGTGGAGTCCTTTTTATCTTTTTCTTAGGGGGTAACGTAACTCTTTCAATTTGTAAATTAAAATTTTTACTTGTTTTATTGTTTTCATTAATATTTAAATTGTCGCAATCATTTTTAAAGTCTTGGAAATCAAATGAAACAACACGAATTTCATCCTTGGAATCAATAGCATCATTTGCTGTTGAATGATTTGACGTTTCTAATACAATATCATGAGTGTTTTCAATAGGTTCTCCAATTTCAGATTTATTTTTTTCCTCAGCCCAAAAAAATGAATCATCTGAATCATATTTTTCAAACTAAAGCATAGATTAAATAATATTTTTATTTAATTTACTTTAATTATTGATATTTACATACCTTTATGCTTTTATCATCATGTTTTGGTTTATTACTTTTTAACATTTGGGAGACATCTATTTCTTTATGTTTATTTTCTAGATGTCTTTTAAGATTAAAAGTTGAACCTCTAAAATGCAATTGTACACCACAGCTATTGCAGCTTGCCTTTTCTGTATCCTTAATTTGAAAATGCTTCCACACTTGGCTTCTTCTCTTTGAGTTTTTCGGAATACCATCCATGCTTTTTTTCGCAGATTTTAAATTGATTTAGATCAGAGGCAAAAATATTTTAAATAAGTTATATGTAAACTTGATTAAAATTTAAATTTTTTTTTGTTTTTAAGAAGGCAAAGTTTCTGTAGAATTAATATTTTAATTCTTTATTTACCCTACTGACAGCGTCAATTCTAATTTTCAATAATGATTAATGACAACTTCAATGACAATTAATAACTTAGGAAAAAAAACTATTGAAAGACAGATGACTCTGTTCGACATAAATTAAAATTTTATGTTTTTTAACAATGTTTGACACACTAAAAATATAAGTTTGGTCGGAGTGGTTTCATTGAGTGCATACCTCTATTTTAATTAGATAGTTAAATCGAAAAAGTATTAAAAGCGAAATGAAATTTTCAAAGCGGTTTTCCTCCTTTAAAAAAGTTTAAAACCCAGCTTACATGGAAATAAAATTGAGTTATTTGTTCAATATACCAAAGTTAAAATTTCAACTCGAAGTTGTTTACAGTAGTTTTGACTTAATATGTTTCATAAGGTTTTGTAAATATACAATTCGGTATTTTTGTCAGCTGTGATTACTATCTGCAATGACAATTACACTAAGTTCAGCATTTTTTCTCAAAACACAATTTTTCAAACAAAAGCTTATATCTTTGTAGTTTTTTTGCATAAGTAGGCGAAATTTTTTTCTCAACCACATGCCGGATACTCTGTTGTTTATTTGTCGACCGACTTTGAAAAAATATTTGAATTAACTATTCCCGATTTCAGTTCTAGTATAAAAATAACTAACTATATTCTTCCATAATCTTTTTTTTTTGTTATATTTGCAAATTGGTCTAGTATTTGTGGAAAACAGCTTAAAAAATCTAGCAAATTCTATATGAACGATAGAGAAATATGAAATGAAAACAGAGCTACTCCAATTTGTCAAAGGTAAAAAGAATAGTTTATTTAAAAAAAGGAAATTAAATATTGCCGTCGCAAATTGGTGAATAAATACACCCGCCGTACAAAAACACCAAATGCTAGCAGCGAATTCAACTCAAGATAAGTAGGTTCGGCAGAATGACGAAATCTTCCACAATTTATTAAATAATATGGTAAATTCGTCAGGCATTTATTATACATGGCTATTTGCAATAAGATATTAAAATTCAAAAACTAGTTGAATTACTAAAATTAACTGGATTTTTATTATTGTATTTTTGAACATCTTGACATTGTATAAATGAGCTTAATATGTAGAAAATTTACTGCATAAGATTTGACAACGTCAATAATGGTCAATGTCATGAAAAAATAAATATTTGCGTATTTGCAAAAGTTTTGTTTCAATATGAAAAACCTAAAAAAATTTAAAATTTCAAACTAAATATTGCATTTAATGACACAATTGAAGATTATGACCAAAACCAGGAAAATATTTACTTAAGAAAACAACTTGGAACTAATTAAAAATAATGGGTTGTTGCAGTACTAAACTTTATCCATATGAGAATTGGATGGAAGAACTACCACCAGATGTTAGAGATTATTCTGTGATAAATTTAGCTATACCAGGTTCGCACAATTGCATGTCTTATGGTATTAACTGGTCATCAAAACCATCTTTAGACGCTGACGAAGAAATAAAAGACATTTTTAAATTTTTACCTTGTTTTGTAAGGAAATGGTCAAAAACTCAATCAGTTGATATTACTGAACAATTAAAACTAGGTATTAGATATCTAGATTTAAGAATATCGTTAAAAGATAATACTAAATTCTATTTTGCACATGGTCTTTATGCTATGGAAATTTTTCAGCCTCTCAAAGAGGTTTGTTCATTTTTAGACGAGCATCCAAAAGAAATTATAATTTTGGATTTCCAACATTTTTATGGGTTCGAAGTAGCACACCACAAACAACTTCAGTACGATATTCAAAGAATATTTTCTGATAAAATTTATGCACCACAAGATGGATCGCTTAGTAACGCCACTCTTAAAAATTGTGAAAATAAAGGAAAACAAGTCATAATTATTTATAGGCGTTGCAAAAATCGATCAGAAAAATTTTGGGCTGATGACAACTGGCCAACGCCGTGGCCTAATACTACTAGTATAAAACAGCTTAAAAACTATTTGAACAATATGTTAAAATATCGAAACCCACGATACGGTTATGTGTCGCAATGCATACTCACACCAGATGGTAAATATATAGCTAAAAAATTTTACTCTTCACTTAAAGGCACTGCCGAAAAAGTTGACAAAAAAATGTCTGATTGGATTGAAGAACAAAGACCTGGAAAATGTACCTGTGATTCTGAACCAAAAGTTAATGTATTTATAGCGGATTTCGTCCATATTTACAATGGTGATTTTTGCAAAAAGATAATTGAGCTAAATAACAAAATTGTAGATCCAGAAAATTAAAAGCTTTACACAATATTTTATATTTTTATTATACTTGGGCCATATGTGCATTAACGAAATATTATTGCTTTATTATAAGGAAAAATAAATTTTACAAAGATGCATTCATAAACGATATAATTTGTATGATTCTACATTCTATAAGTAAAATGTAAGTGACTTATGAATTTTCAAAACTCAAAATGCCTAATAGGTATAATTCATTCCAAAGAAATTAAAATCAATAGAACTCCAATCTATCTACTTAAATTTATTTCTTCTTTACTATAATCAAGTTTTTAATCTAATTATTTTTGGAAAGGATAGTAATCAAGACCTGAATTGTAATTGAATTTCTTTTTTTGCTTCTTAGCTGATATTTCTAACATTTCCTTCACATCTTTCCTATATGCTGGAGGTAATAATTCTTCGGCTAACGTACATTCGATTTTTTCTTCTTCTTCAACTCTGTAAATATTTCTTCGTACGAAATCAACATCTCGGATAAATTCTTCCTTTAATATCTCAATATTATTCGGTGCAGTATCAAATAATATTGTAAAATATGAACCTTCCCGGTGCACTGCGTCATGGCAACTAATTTTGTATGGCAAAGCTCTTGTGCCTAAATTTTCCATATTGCGAATAATTCCTCCTTTATCAAGTATACTTTCTGCAGCTCTTTTAAGCGCTGTAACAGTCTCAGGCTAGAATTTCTCGATTTCAGTTATACTTTTTTTTTTAATTTTGTATATTCATACCCTTGTCATTCGACGTAAAACCAAAAGCAATTCATATGATGGCATTTTTATAATTAAAAATTTTCAAGGAAACTTATAAAAAGCAGTAAATATATAAATATGAAATCAAAATAACAAATTTAACCTATTTACTGTCATCTGGACAAAATAAAAATTTCGTGACAGATAAATGAGGCGGCTTCAATTCACTTAAGCCGACTTTGGACTGCGTTATTAGGTTAGGAGTCATTATGAGGAGTCGTCTTCAATTAATCAATTAAGTTTAGATGAGAAATTTGCAATAAAACTCATGTCAAACTGGAAAACAGACGCAATCTTAAAAAGATATTAAAGTTTTTCTAATAAATGATAACGACTCATGCATACTTCTGTTTACCCCACTTGATTTTATTTTTTGACAAAAAATGTTTTAAATTGTCTATATGAACTCTAGCCGCTTTTATATTTATACAACTGTTATGACAGATATTAGATACAGGTTTGTATCCTAAAGATGAGTTTCCACTTTACAGCCGCGCGGAGAAAATTTTTAAGCAAACAATTTTAATTTTACTAGCACATAAAATGTGCAAAACTGATATTGCAAGAGAGTTTATTTATTTACTTCTTTGAGGTAAAAAGATGAAGTGGCACATATATAGAATTAGATATGTATGTTCTTCGGAATAAGTGAACCCTTCGGAACTAAGTTCTCCGGATTAATTTTTCATTTCTTCATATTTTAGTTTGTGTATTATTTTTTTTTTACCTCTTTTTTCTTTTGAAATTTTTTGTTTTGAAGTTATAATAATTTATAATGTTCATTTTTGCAGCGTATGTTGCAGCGACAAATATTCAATTTTTCGAAAGTCTGCAATTGCCGGCGTCTCATGTCGAAGCAATATAAACTACACTATTTAAGAAAGTGTATTGAATTATATTTTGACATATTATGCCACTGTCACTATTGCAATCTCGCAGTGTCGCCATAATAATTGTCAAATTATTTTAACATAGTGCATGTAAAGATGAGTTTGCCCGATATATTAACATAATGTATTATCATGCATGAAGTTTATCATTTTGTCTTAAAAGATGTAGAAGTTTTGTAAGCAGTAAACGGTTAATTTACAAATTTTTATCAATCTTTTGGAAATGTGTTAAAAAGGACAAAATACGTATGGTAAGTTACTCATTGGAAAATTTATTTTGGGATTTTTCAAATTAAGAAGAAAAACGAAGAAAAATATTTTGGTAATGTTTGGAAATAAAATAACCAATAATTTTACTGACATACTAAAAAAAATGAATAATAGTAATAGAATAGAGAACATTAGACATATTGCACATATTATTTTAATTGTAATTTTTTATCATATGCAATTTTATATTAAGTAAGTAGATACCCTATAGAAAATTAAATTCCTTTTAGTTGTTCCGGTTGAGTTCCTCAAAAGCTATTAGAAGAAATTATCAAATTTTTGTGAGTAAATTTAAATCTATATTTCAACTCCATGATTGTTAATCAAATTACGTTCTTTTGTTTTTTATTATCTATATTTGAACTGTATATGAATGCGAAAACCAAAAAAAAAAACAAAATAGAAACAATTGTCAAATTTCATTCAAAGAGAATATTATACCCTCGACTTTATAATTTAATAATTTAAGTCGTAGGACTAGTAAAATTAATTATACCAAGAATTATTGTATGTATGCAGCTTCATTCAATCGAAGAAATTACGCATTGTACATTTTTAAATATTTACAAATTTTTTTAATTTAATGCACATAACTACTCAAATCTGACATATGACATCAAAAATATAACTACATTATTAACAGTTTTAAGAAAAATATATAAACTGTTAAAAAAAATTTAAGAATAAATGAAGAAATCAATGACACCAATTAAAGTAATAATATAAAACATAATTGAAGATAATTATAAAATGATCTTAATAATTGAGAAATAAGATTATACTTAAAGAAAAAAAAAAAAAACAAAAAATAATAATAAACGGACGATAGTGCTCATTATTAATGTTATGTCTTCATAATTTGTTCCAAAGGTGTGGTAAAACAGCATTAATTTTTCAACTAAAACAACAAAAAAATTATTAAGCTCAAATTGTATATATACATATATATATATATATATATATACATGTGTGTAATCATCATATTATAGTAAAATGTTTAAATAACAATTTAAGACTGATTCGACACAAATCAAAAATTGTTTACAAAAATACAAATAGAAAAAGAAATAAAAAATCAAAGGTAAATGCCCCCCTGTTAGGTTTTAAGTAATAAAATCACTAATAAATTTAAGATTCTATTCAAAAAATTAAATTGATTTTTAGATTTGATTATTTTATAAAAGTTAATCTAAAGCGGTTTAATTTTTTACTATATAAATTATATTACTTATAAATACGCTAAATATATATAAATATATATATATATATATATATATATATAGATATATGTATAACACACTGTATTATTTTAATTATGAATACTATTTCGTATACATACATATATATATATATACGTTACATTTATGCATGAATAAAAAATTTCAGTTTTATTATTATTTACTATTTTAATTATGTGTGCTTATATACAGAGTGTTTAATAATAATTTTGCTTGTAAAATGTAACATTATAGTCTTAAATATTTACCTTAACAATAGTAGTATATGCCTTTCATATATTAACTTTAGTTAAATCTCATAGTATACTATATGCATTGTATTAGATTAAGATTTAGGTAAATGTAGGTACATGTGTGTATATATATGTTTAAACTCATATAAAATGTATCATGTATTATAAAAGAATTTGTTTAGGAAACAATGGTACAAAAAATATAAATAATATTTAAGAAAATATTTACTAATTTATTTTTCGTAATTGTAGAAAACAATTAATATTTAGAATTTGTATATCGAAAAATCAACAATTATTGAGCAAATACGATAATAAATATTTAAGATATCAATTTCGTACAATATAATATATGGAAACATCAAGGAAAATAATATTCTAAGAGTATAGGTGTCAGTTTGTGCATACTTAATAACAAAATTACTTACTAGACACATACAATATTATTTTGTTTTAAAAAATACTATTATTTAATAGATTTATGATTTTGACTAATTATTTAACTAAATTGATAAATGTTCAATTTTAGCACCCTGTTTACGTATTAGAAACTTTTCATAATTATTTATTTTAATTTCTTATTTATCTGTTTCGAATTTGTGTTACAAAACATAAAAATTTTTCGCTAAAATTTACTGCTCATCGTTATTATTCCTGTGGACTTTTATTACTATTATAGTTTCTTTTTTTTTTGTTTTTTTTTGTCAAAAAATTTTTTAAAGAGCAGCCGAAACACCTAAATAAAATAAACATTAATAAAAGAAATTTATATGAAAATGAGGGAAAAGAATTCAATACTTTTATAAGATACGAAAATATTCTTTTATAATATTGATTTTAAGTTCCGGTCTAATTTTTTTTTTCTTATGCAAATTTGTAGTAAAAATTTCTTTTGTTCTAAATTCTAATATTGTATTGTTCTTTTATTCGTTTAGTATGATACTAAAAATAGTATCGGCGTACTTTTTCTAAATTTAATGTTATGTAAATTCAATGTATCATTTTGATATTAGAGAAATTAGAGAATTGAATTGACATTTAGTAGCTGCTACTGCATTATTTTTTGACAATATTTTAGGAAATGAAGTTGTAACAGTATGAATTAAAAAGGCTAACCTTAAGAAGAGTAAATGAAGATCTATTATCTTCTAATGCAGGATTTTTGTATTATTAGTCTACAATTGAAAATAATTTTAATTTTAATTTCGAAGTTTAAATTGTAATGACACATAATTTGGAAAAAGTTGGTTAGTAGTACTTGAATTTAGTAAATATGTATGTATATGAAAATGTTCGTTTAGTATTACTGTGTCTTACGCACAATATCGTATGACTAAATCTATACTAAAATATTAAAAAAATTAACTATATCTCGTGTTATATTTATAAACTTGCTGAAAATAGGATTAATACAATAAATATATGTAACTGTATAAGGGAGGGAATTGATACTAAAACTTTATACTCATGACAAACAACAAATTGAACTAAATTTGTAGATGTTACGTAAATTTTTGTAATAATTTTTGCTGTATTTACGAACTTATAATTATGTATATTATAAACTTAAAAATAATCTAATGATAAAATTCCATAATTAATTTTGTGATACATTAAAATTAGTGATTTATCACTTTCTAGTCATTTTTCTTAGATTATAATTTGCTAAATTTTTTTTTTTATTGTAGGATTAATCTTGGTCAAAAATAAGTAATTTACATTTTTATTAGGCCAAAAATTATTCAGAATCAAATTAAAAAAAAATTTTGATTTTAGAACAAATGTATTTTGAATTTTTATTTTACTTTCTAGTGTACGTACTTGTGAATAGATGGACCAGGTAATGTAAATAAAATGTGGTACTTTTATTATAGTATTAGATTATATAGTAATGCATATGAAAATGTAGTAATAGTTCTACAATATTTAAAATTTGAGGACCATACTTTACTACAATATTTGCTCTTTTGTTTTTAAATTTGATTTGTAAAATAAACTACTCGGGGATTTATTGCTAAAGACCGCTTTCAAAATTGGAATACTTTAAGTATCTGATAATGTCGACGATTAATTAAAATTATGGAATTAATATGAAAATGTCCAGCATTTTTGAAAGAAATTTATGTATACTTTAAAATTAACTTTCTTTAAAAAGAAATTGTTTTTTTAATTCTAATATTTTTCTTGACCATTCTTTAAATTAAAAAATATATTTTCAATTTATTATTGTCTGTCTGTACATTGCATATTCGTATTAAATAACATGGTTTAAAACTTAAACCAAAATACGGTATGTACATATAGTATCTAATTTTTTCATCTTAAAATGGTTGGGCAATACTAAGTTTTCAAATAGGCATGTCTTTTAGTAATTTTCAGAAAAAAACAATTAATTTAAATGAGAATAGTTATATATAATCCTCCTCTTACTCTCGTTCTCACGTTTTGCTTTTCTTTTCCCTATTCTTCTTCAGAATTTGGTAATTAACAATTAAGACTGTACCTTAACAAACAACGCTTTTTATTTCTTTCAAAACCAATTAAAAAATTGTCAATTTTCTTAGCGTCTTTCACATTTACTTTACAAATTTACAATCCATTATCTCATATTTATCTAAATTTCGGTATTTATGTATATATTTGCAACTTTTATTTGTATGTCAATATGTATTTGCGTAAAAAAAAAAAATTTTTTTTGTGTACATATATATATAAAGAATAGATCGATAGGTTAAGAACTTCAGTTAAGAATTAGATTTGTTTAAGAAATAGTTTAGGAGTATTTATTTTTTCAAATATTTTTAAAATTATCCATAACCTACCGTACATAATTTTTTTGTTTTGAAAATAAGCAAAAAATAAAAAAAAAACAGAAACATTATTAGATACACTAACGCGATGTTAAAGAAATTTTTAAAATTAAATTTTTTAATTTTACTTGTAACATCATGTGTTACTGCAGGAAAATTACGTTCTTCTTACAACAATTTGAACTATTTAAATAATCAAGAAAAATATTTATTAGAGCAAATAAAACATGATCATCAAACATTTAAAAATAGTGACACTTTTTCAGAAAGTTGCATTAAAAAACGTTTAGAAGAATTAGATAAATTAAAGGATAAAGCTGAAGAAGTTCAACAAGAATATGCAAATCAATTAACACCACAAGAATTTGATAATTATTTAGCTGAAGGTTCACCATTTCAAATAAAAGATAATTATTTAGAATATCATTGTGATTTAGAAAGTAAATTAGGTGGTATACATGGTGGTATTTCAATTGAAAATTATTATCCTGAACAAAAACTTGAAACTGAATCAGAACAAACTACGTCTACATCAGATTCAAATAAATTTAAACCATCCGAAAATCCAATTTATCCACCTATAGAAGGAATTATTGATATATTAAATAGAACTGAAGTTGTAGTAACAGAACAACAGCAACCAGATGATGGTAAGGAATAATATGAATTTAGAACTTTTTACTTTTAAGTTATACTGCAAATAAAAAAGCAATTCATTTCATAATTTTCCATATAGAATATCTAATAAAATAAGATAATTGAGATCAAATATTCAAATATTGTGTAAAAGAGCTTATAATTCTTTGATATATTGTAATTTTTTTGAAATTTAGAAGCTGATAAATAAAATTTGTTTTATGTAGGAATACCAAGATGCAATCCAACTGATAAAGTATCAGTATGCGATAAAAATGCTGAATGCTCATTTGTTGGTAAAGAACGTTATCAATGTAAATGTAAAGCTGGTTGGGCTGGTAATGGATTTGTATGCGGTTTTGATACTGATTTAGATGGTTGGCCAGATGAAAATCTATCTTGTAACGAATTAAATTGTAAGGCAGATAATTGCATAGCTATACCAAATTCAGGACAAGAAGATTCTGATTCAGATGGTCTTGGTGATAGTTGTGATGATGATGCTGATGGTGATGGTGTCAAAAATAATTTAGATAATTGTCCATTTGCATATAATCCAAATCAGAAAGATATCGATAATGATAAAGTAGGTGATGCATGTGACAATTGCCGTCATAAATCAAATGGTGATCAATTGGATAGTGATAATGATGGTTTAGGTGATGTTTGTGATAAAGATTCTGATAATGACGGTATTTTAGATATCGATGATAATTGCCCACTTAAGTTTAATACAGATCAATCTGATTATGATGGGGATGGAGTTGGAGATGTTTGTGATAATTGTGTAAAAATTTCAAATTCTTTACAAAAAGATTCTGATGATGATTTAATTGGTGATGCTTGTGATAATGATAATGATAGTGATATGGATGGTATACAAGATGATATAGATAATTGTCCAACAGTTTTTAATTCAGATCAATTAGATATCGATGGTGATGGAATGTAAGTATTTATTTAATAATATTAAATATAATTTTTTTTTTTAATTTTTATTTTATTATAGTGGAGACGCCTGCGATGATGATATTGATGATGATAATATAAAAAATATATATGATAATTGTATTTATGTTAAAAATCCAAGGCAAGAGGATCTTAATTTAGATGGTATTGGAGATGTTTGTGAAAATGATGATGATAATGATGGTGTTAAAAATTCATTTGATAATTGCCCCCATAATCCTTATATAAGTTCAAGTGATTTCCGTAAATTCCATACAATTAATTTAGATCCAACATCAAGAGAACCAAAACCAAATTGGATAATATTAGCAAATGGTTCTGAAATAACACAAACTAAAAATAGTTTTCCAACTATTGCAATTGGATATGAAAATTTCAATGGTGTTGATTATAGTGGTACATTTTATGTTAATGATGATATTGATGATGATTTCATTGGTTTTATATTTGGTTATCAAAGTAATAAACGATTTTATGTTGTTTCTTGGAAAAAAGAATATCAATTATTTAAAAAAGTTAATGCTAAACCTGGTGTACAAATATCATTGGTAAATAGTATTACAGGACCATCTTCAACATTAGGCACAGCATTATGGAATTCTAATAGTACTAAAAATCAAGTTAAAATATTATGGAATGATCCAAAAAGAGAAGGTTGGAAACAATTCACTTCATATCGATGGGAACTTATACATAGACCAACTATTGGTTTAATTAAATTGAGGTTAGTTTTTAAATATTATGCATTATAAATTGAAGATGTAATTTAATTTGGTTATTATTTTATTTAGGATATACGAAGGTAATAATCTTATATTAGATTCACCATTAATATATGATGAAGAAATTAGGGGTGGACGATTGGGCGTGTATTGTGCATCACAAGAAAATGTGATTTGGTCTAATTTACAATACAAATGCAATGGTAATATAATGTTATTAGTGGCTTATTAAATTAAATCTAAAAATTTTTTTTAAATATGAATTTCAGAATATGTTTCGAGCTCAATTTATAAACAACTTCCAAGGAAACTTCAACAAAAGATTCGTGAAGAATTGGTTTATTGATGAATTTGAAATTTAAATTTTATTTCTCGAAAGGTTTTTTTTTTATTTTAATTATAAAATTCAATTGTGAGAATAAATAAATTTAAATAATTAATTAAACGAAGTAATGATGAAATTTTATCGATTTTATATGCTCGAATTTTAAAGATTAAATATGAAAATATTTTATAACAAAAATATGATTTTTCCCTGTGGTATCTTTCGGTTAGTGCTACACATTTTAAACTTTTACATGTGTTAAGGCTTTAGTTTTGCTTTACTATCAGGAAATAAACAAAACAATTAATAGTTTAAAGTCCAAAATATTGAAAGTATCTTCGAAAAACACTTTATCCCGCATACACCTCTGAAAATAATTTTGTATTACAATATTAGAGCAATGTTTAATTATTAAATGCGCTGGAAATCAAGAACTAAATTAAAATTGGATTCTTGTAGCTATGAACAACGTTTGATTTTGCTAAGATCTCAAGTATTGGTGAATATTTTTTAAATTGTTTTTGTAAAGCTAAAGAATATTTATCAAATAGCAATTTTAATTCTTTTTTTGTCTGCTATGTCGAACAGCAGACAAAAAAAAATTAAAATTTATTTTTATTTTTTTTTACAACTTTGATAATTTCTACATTTATATGTAGTGGTTTATGTCTGGTTAATGTAATAAAACAAAAATATCGTCTTTTCAATTTATCGTAATGCTCTCAATTATTCCGCATGCGCGTCCAATTTATTTAAATATTTTTCACCTTCAGCGTAATTTTTCTTAAATTGTAAACATAAATTATTGTAATTTTAATATGAAATATGAGAAATTTGTTTGTATATGCTGATACACTTTGTTTTTTTTTAATATGAGAAACATTTGAAAGAATTTTTGTTATGTCTGTAACAAAACATTTTGATTATTTCATTTTGAATTCGAGTTCATGTTGTAGATTCATAGGTGTGAAATTTTAATTTTTTTTTTTATCATCTATAGGTGTATACATATGTATAAGTAGAAATAAAATATAAAACAAGTAAAAACGTTTCAGTCGGTATAAACCGATTGAATTATACCCTGCACCTTTCGTTATTGTGTAGCAATTACTCGAACCTCTGAGATCATTCTATAGAAACTTCACGGACATGTCTGACCTATAATTGGACATCCGACTGCCAAGTTTCATCAATCTGACCTTATAATTTTTCAAAATATTTAAAATTAGTTGGTGGAGTTGTATGGTAAGTATCTAAACCTGTCAAGCAATTCCATCAAAACTTCACAAATATATCTGATCTATAATCGGACACACAACTGCCAAGTTTCATGAATCTGACTTTATTATTTTTCCAAATATTAAGAATAAGCTTTTAGACTTGTATGGGATCTACTCGAACCTGTTAAGCAATTCCACCACAACTTCAGAAATATATTTGACCCATAATTGGACACGTGACTGCCAAGTTTCATGAATCTGACTTTATTATTTTTCCAAATATTAAGAATAAGCTTTTTGACTTGTATGGGAGCTACTCGAACCAGTCAAGCAATCGCACCAAAACTTTACAAATATGTCTGACCCATAATTGGACACACTACTGCCAAATCTCATGAGTTTGACTTTATTATTTTTCCAAATATTTAAAATAAGCTATTGGGGTTGTATGGCAAGTACCCGAACCTGTCAAGCAATTCCACTAAAACTTCACAAATATATCTGATCTACAATCGGACACGCAACTGCCAAGTTTCATGAATCTGACTTTATTATTTTTCCAAATATTTAAAATTAGCTTCTGGAGTTGTATGGCAGGTACCCGAACCTGTCAAGCAATTCCTCCAAAACTTCGGAAATATATTTGACCTATAATTGGACACATGACTGCCAAGTTTCATGAATCTGACTTTATTATTTTGCCGAATATAAAAAATTTGCTGTTGGAGTTGTGTGGCAGCCACCCGAACCGGTGCAGTTATCCCATCATAATTTTTAGAGCATGTGTAGAATATATTTGGACACATGTATACAAAATTTTATATTTATAGCTTTATTAGTTTTTGAAATATTTAAAATAAACTCTTGGAGTTGTATGGCAGCTACCCGAACCCGTTGTCCGAATTGGTCCAATAACAATAGGGTTCGTCCTTGGCACAAAAGAAGCAACTTGTGAAAGTTTGGTGTCGATTGCATTATTCGTTTTTGAGTTATCGTGCGATCGGACGGACGGACGGACGGACGGACGGACGGACGGACGGACATGTCTAAATCGACGCAGAATTTTACGCTGAGCAAGAATATATATATATGTCCATACCGCAGATGACTCCTTCAAGTAGTTACAAACTCCATACCAAAGTTAATATACCCTTCACGAAGTGCAGGGTATAAATATGCACAATAATTTTTATGGAAATTTCATTTAATAGAGCATAGATCTTTTAAAATTTTTTAACGGTGCTAGTAACAATATAACTAAAAAAGTTTCCATCAAAATTGAGTACTTTCTATTCCACTATTTTAATTTTAAAAAACGATATGTTTTATTTTCAGAATGACGTTGTAGTTCTGTTAATTGCATTCCCATGCAAAATCTTTAGTTAATAATGAAAATTTTAATATCAAGAGCTTATACCTTAAGTTTATTCCATTCGATTTAACAATCAAAATATGTATTACTGTATAGTAGGTTGGTAATACTTCCAGCTACATCACCTTTTGTAAAAGTAGTTGCAAATTAATATTTATAAAGATATCTTTAAATTCTTATTGTCAAAATTTTGGGAGAATTTCAAAATCACTTTATTGTGAACAAAAAAGACTAAACTTTAGTAATTATAGTAACTATACCCGTACGAACGTATGTTCGAAGGTTATGCTAAATTTGCCTTATCGTTGGTTAACGCTAAGAAATAATGGTCTGAGACATGGACTCAAGTGTACGTTTTTAATCAGCGTCGAATTCTGAGTCGATTTAGCTTTCTCGGTTCGTCCGTCTGTCCGTCCCAACGATAACTTAAAAACTAATTTAGCTAAGTTTCACAAACGCCAAAAAATTTTACAAACGATAACCAAATTTTCACAAACTATCGTAGTAAGTGTCAGAACCCTATTTAAATTGGAAATGATCGGGGTGCTGCCATACAACTTTAAAAGTTATTTGAAAGACTCAAAAGTTAAAGAAATCTCGTGAAAACAAGTGTATTATTAGGTCTATTATGTTTGATAAAAATCATTGAAATTTCTATCATGAATGAAAATATTGTAGTAAGCAAGTCAAATTTTTTTTATAAGAATTTATTATTTTTTAATAATAAGGGTTTTTCTTTTCATTAAGAATTTCTTTGGTTTATTTTCAAAGAGCTTGAATTTCTAATATATTGTATGTTTTCTTGAATATTAGTAGATTAATTTTTATAATCTGATATCTCTAATATAAACGAGATTACAAATTTCTTATAAATCATTTTTCATCATTTGTGCAAGTATATATGCACATGTATCCAAATAACATGATATATATCTATACATGCGTCTTTTAGAAAACAAAAATTCCAGTAATAATTAAAATTACTAAAATAACTCATAAAATTCTTACAGTTAAAAATAAAAATATGCAAAATTATAAAATGCGATATAAAATGAGATATACATTAATTATAAAGAAGGTCTGTAACCCATATTTTAGCTGAAACTGCATAATAATAACTTGAAACGACCTACACAATAATTGCACTAGAATTTTGTATAAGTATAAGAATAAATAAAGGACAGTAGAACCTTTGTAAATTTTTTCATTTTTTTTTAAGATTTTAATTGAAATTTATAATTAAATTTTGTCATTGTGAATAGTATTGCATAGTATGAGATTTTTGAAAGGGAAAAATGTTATTATATTGAAAAATTTATTTAGATTAACAAATTTATTTGCTGTGCATTTTGAAAAAAAATTTGAATTTTTGAGTAATTCTCACACAATTATAAAACCTAATGGTATGTTCCATAAAAATTAAAACGGACCGGTCAATTTTATCTATCCTCGTTATTATTAAATTTATATAAGGCAAAAAATTACTTAGGCATGCATTAGGTATTTATGTTCAAAAAAAAAAAAATAATTATTTTTTGAATAGGACATTATAAAATTGTGATGACATATTTGAAATGGAAACCTTATTTTTTTAAATTATACATAATAAGATATCGGTAAAATTTTTGGTAAACGCTGCATTTTTTCTGCAAGGAAGTCTTCATTTTAAATAAAATAAAAATTTTAAAACCAGTTATGTTCAGGGTATCAAACCGTTTAGTTTAATGTGTTTTGGAAAACGAAGTTATAGAATATCGGAAAAAAAATTATTTGAAGCATTTTAGAAAATTTTCGGTATTGTACAAATTTACATAATTTATGAGTACATTTATTTTGTAGTATACTCTATTTAATTTATTTTATTAAAAGAAGCACAAAATGTTTGATATAAAATTCAATTAATAATCGTTATTAATTTAATAAAGAATATCTTATATATTTAAGCTAGTTATTCGTATAACAAAATTATTTTTTTATATTAAATTTTGATTTTCGTTAAAAATCAACTAATTTTAAATGGAATTGCAAGTTTAATATTAAAATTTTTTGAAATATAATTAAAAGTTTCTTAAAATCATAAAAAATTTTAATTAAACAATTTTAAGGGGAAAAAAAACTCATTTTATAAATTACATATTTCAATTTTTAATAAATGAAGTGAAGTGAAATTATAATGTTTATAATTGCTAAAAATAAAATATTTAAAAATTATATTTAATTATCTGGAAAATTTTGTTAAAATTCTAATGAAATCTCTCGTTTGGAATCTCTTTAAAAACAATTTTTTGTAATAATTGCAACTATTAGAAATGTTTTATATGGGAAATTTAGTTTTCTATTGTGAATTATTCATCACTACATGTGTAATTTATAAATTATCAATAAAATTTTAATTATTGCATTCTTTACAAGTATATTTGCCATTGAAATTCCGTCGGTCGAAAGTGATATTTGAAGTGAAATATATTTCGTTCAAAAAAAATTGAATAAAATGATCCCTAACAAATACATATATACATACATAATATGTTTAATTCACATTATATGTTAATAAATTTTAAAAAAAATTATACTACATAATACTTGTGTTTTTTAATTGTAATTTATATTATTTTTATTGATTTAAAATTAATTGCTATCGGAAATTAAGCTTTCAATAAAGAAAAAAGGAAAAAAATTATACCTAATGGTGGTGTCGAAATACTACGACATAATATGTACCTATAACAATTCTATTTTATAGTTCAAAAAGAATTTTAAAACCTGACTGAACCAAAACGTGACCACATGTTTAATTAATCAAGTATGATTAAGCAATTAGGACAACAAAAACATACGTACTTTGAAAAACAGACAAATTTTATCTTTGGGCGGCGGCCTAAGTTTCTTTTATTTTATTTACATTATTTGAGAATTTATTCTTTCTATATTTTTTTAAACGTAAAAGAATTTGCAGAATTATTGGATTTGAAAAAATTCTAGAGAAATTTTTAATATTAAAATTCAATTTTGATTGTAATTATACATATATATATATATACATATATATTTGGATGTGGTAATTTTTGGATGTGGTATATAAGTTATATATTTTTATTTACTGATATATTTAGGTGTTTTAAAGTGTCATATTTCTTACTAAAATTCGAATTTATTATTTTTAACAACTAAATTTATACAATTTTCAAAAAAATATTTTGAAATGAGATTTTAAAATAAATTTTTAATGGTATCCGTTTTGAAAAGTATTATTCAACAATAAAATAATAATTAACTGAAAAATAAATACAGAACCGCTTCTGTAAACGAAAACTATTATATTAGTTATATAAAAGAAAATATAGCAAGATATATAAAAAATATTCGAAAGATATTCTATTGCCTAAAATCAAATTTCCACAAAATTTCCAGTAAATCTCAAATTTTTAATATATTTTATTTGGGATTTTTACATAATTACATAAAGATTTATTAAAAAATACAATTATCTTAAGTAGTTTTATAAGCAGTAGCCGGAGGTCAAAAATTCCCTTGCCCATATCTTTTTGCAATTAATTATAATCTACAATTTACAATCTCTTTTGTAGAAATCTTGCCTATATTGGTAAAAATTTTAATAGATATTCTCAATAAATTTAATAGATTTATTTAATAGATCAATTTTGATTTAATAGATCTATTCTTTTTATTGTTTTCGAAGAGAATACTCTGGTCCTTTTAAGCAACGAATAGGCTAAACTTAAAAGGAAATTTGCTTTTTTTGTAATCAAATTTATTTCTGATAGATTTCTATATATTTTCTTAATTTCTGTTAGATGAGTGTTATATATATTATATAAATATATTATATAACTCTTTTAAGTACATCATACCACAATCAATTTTAATTATTCAATAACCTTGGTTTAAATTTAAATTTTACCGATTAACAAAATTGCTATATAAATTATTGATACATATATATTTGAAGCATTATATAAAATAAAAATATAATCGAACTTAATATACAAGTACATATATAAAAAATTTCCACAATATATTTTAATTTATAAGGTTGTTAGCCTATTTTCTTTTGTTTTCTAAGCACGAAGTAATTGCAAATATTGCATTTTTTTAATAACCATGCTTAATTATATACAGGGTGATTCAGAAAGGTATACAATATCATATATACCATCTAACATATACCAATATTACATCTTTTTCGGAACGGAAGTTATAATCAAAAAAGCTTGGATAAGTAGAAATTTCGCGAAAATTCGTTAAAATCCCTGTATCTCAGAAACCCTTGAGATTTCGCACCTAGTCCGGAACAAAAGTTTTGCTCATTTTCGACCTTCTAACCATTAGTATATGTTGTTGTATACCTTTCTGACTCACCCTATATAACTCCGTAATTTTTAAGTTTAATAAAAAAAAATAAAATAGGGAATTCATGCCACTTTAATTATTGAAAAACGTATGTATGTGTTATTTGAAATAAATAGTTTTTACATGATATGACCATATTGAAAAATAATTTTAATTATGTGAGTTGTTTATTTTGCACATATGGTGTAAATCATTTTTATTTTTTAATTCGATATCTTTACAAGCTTACGTTTCAACACGTTATACTGATACCATCTTTTGAGATAATTTATTTTAATTTGTTAGTTGAGGATATCTATATTCTATTTCATTTATTAATGATTTTATAAAATCGTTGAAAAAGTCACCATATTTCATTATAGAAAAGTTGCTCATCCCACCAAAAATAATTAAGAAAACTTAGTAGCTAATAATGATATTAATTTTACTAAAGCTATGAAATTTGACGAATAGATCGTACATTATAATAAAATTTATAAAATAATGCAAGCTACTTTATGCAGCATTTAAATTATTAATTAGTTGAATAAGTCAAGCTGCCGTTGAATCGGCATTAAGTAAAAATGCTGTCTATAATAGAACTAAGGAAAATTAAACAGAGTAAGACCAATCTCTGATAGTGCCCTTTTTGTACTCAATATATATAATATTTTGTTCTAGTATATAGAGAAAAACAAAAACTTTTCAAAGTTTCTTGCATTATATACGTGGGTATATACATAGTATAAAAAGTTAGATGAAATTGCAACCTGCAAAACTTTGAGTTTATATTTAGACAAAACTCTATATTTAATTTATACATGAAGCTTTAAAAGTTTTGTGTAATTTAGAATTGAACCTGACATTATCGATTTCACCTTATTTATACATTTTTATTTATTAATACAAAGAGAGTACGAATACACAAGCACCTTCTGTCATTTAAAAAAAATAATCAATTTTATTTGTTAATGCAATTTTTATAAATTTATTATTTCCTTTTTTTTAGTTGACATGAATTTAAAATTCTTATTTTTTCTAATACACATAACATTTCTAATTGAATGCGGATTTTCAACAAATATAACAGCAATTCACCATCCACGCCATCGGAAATCTCGACATATTAAAATCAATTCTTTAACACCAGCAAATTTTAATTTTAAAGCTGAAAATTATGATTACCTTGTTAAATTATTACCAAACCTAAAGCCAGATGTATGTTCATCATCAATAAAGAAAATTTCACCTTCATTTATTTCTGTATTAAAAACTACTGATTCGTTACCATTAAATAATGATGACCTATTACAATGTGAAATTACTAACGACAATTATAACAACAGGAAACCCAGATTAAGTGAGTTAAATATATTAATTTTTAAGAAAATAATAATAACAATTTCAATATACATAAATATTAAGATTTAATTAATTTATTTAATTTAAATTAAAATTAAGAGTTGTACAATTTTGAAAAAGTTTTTAGTTTTAAAGCGTTTATTTTGAGCTTTAAATGCGACAATTTATAAGAAAAATTTCAACTAACTTCATAATTGATAGAATTGAATTTGAGAGCCTTAATATGCAACACAGCAACTCTTTTTTTTATTTAAACATTAATGTTCCTTATAATTTAGCAATTTAGCAATTAATTTTAATATTTAAAATAAATTGAAATTATTATTAAAGAATTAATACAATTTGCTGGTACATTTTTAATACTTACTTGTAGTTTCCTAAAAAAAAACAAAAATAATACATTAATTATATTTTAATTTTATTTTAATTAAAAATTCAGTTATACATACAGCAGGATCACAAAGTGATCCATCTCAAACAACAAAATTTACAAATCCTTCAAATCAAAACTGTTTTTCATTCACTGTTAAAACTGCGGGTGTTGCCACTATTGCTTTATATAATGATATAACATCTTTTAGTTACATAAATATACAATTGGGATTATTGAATAATACTCAATCTCATATGTCGTATAATCACCATATTTGTAGCCATAATTGCGAAAATGAAGATACACCAGATATTTTAGATCAAGACAATTTTAAAGGATTTTGGATTAGTTGGAATCATGATACTGTTACAATTGGTGAACAGAATAAAGATGATTACATTTTTCAGAGAAATTTTGATTATATTGGAAAAATACATTATATTGGATTGTCTACACCGGGTGCTTTACCAATGAGTACATGGACAATTGAAGGTAATATTCATATTAAATAATACTCATATGACGAACATAATAAGATTAAAAATTTTTATTTTTATTTCGTTACCAGAACCTTTTTGCCCCGAAAAATATTTAGATCCTACGATTGTTTTAGAAAAAGAGCAAAATGTTGTTACAAAATGTCATAAAATTTTTGATAATGCACATTTAACTTTATCAAATTTATCACCCGAAAAGAAATTATTAAAAAGATTGGAAGCTCTTGGTGCAGAATATGATATTGAAAAATTAACAAATGTATTAACATTCAATAGAGTTAAAGATTATTATTATACTACTTTAGATTCATTTTACTTTGAAGAATATATGAGTTTATTAAAAGCATGTATGAGTTTGGAATGTGATAAGGAAACATTGGATATAATTAAAACGAAAATTGAAGATTTACGAAAAATATTAAAAGATAAAATTGAAGATTTTGCGTCAAAACCACAATGCTCTATAAACGGATATTTTGACAAGTCCTATCAAAAATGTACTTGTAATTATGGATATGCTGGTAATGGTATATATTGTAAAACTGATACTGATAATGATGGCATCCCTGATGAAAATATTTCTGAATGCATTGATAGATCAGAATGTCGAAAAGTAGAATTTTTTATCGTATAAATTTTCAATTTTTTTGTAATTTTTGTTTTTTTTTTAATTTTTAGGATAATTGTCTATATGTTCCAAATCAAGATCAAGAAGACAGTGATAAAGATGGTGTAGGTGATCTTTGTCAACCGAAATCAATATATAAAATAACCAATGATGATCAATTTTATGATTCTAATACAGATATTGAAAATATAGGGAATTCTGTTAAAACCGTAGACATTGATAATAAATTAAATTGCGCACATTTAACATTACCGCTAGATACTATGGGTAGAAAATGTGTATTAGAATCAGATTTTACAATATTAAATGAATATAATAAGAAAAAATTGGAAATAATATTTTCACAAAAAAATTCTAATAGATTCTTTAGATTAACTTGGACTGATAATTATAAAGGAAGATTTTTACTTAATAAATTAAATAGTTTAGAAGAATCATCTGATGATTGGGAAGATCATTGGTTAAGATCATCAAATTTAATTTGGTCAAATAATAATAAGAGTACTTTTGAAACTGGTGCTAGTTATCGAATTACTATTCATTATGCTTCAGGAAAATTACAAATTAGGTAATTACGAAAATTAATTTAATTTTAAAATTTAGATATTAAAATTTTTCATTTTTTGCTATTTTCAATATTTCAGACTTGAAAAGGATCAAGCAGTTATAACAGACACCTATGAATTAAATATTAGTGATATTGAAGGTGATGAGCCTATTAATAAATTATGTTTAACTTCAAATAAAATTGAATGGATTGTAGCTGTTCAGAAATGTAATTAAAATATTAAAATAAAAATATTTGTGTACATTGAATGTTTTTCATTTATTTTAAAATTAATTTTAATTGCTCTAGAAGAACCTTCATAATTATCATTTTTAATAAGTAAATTTCAAACTATTGCACTAGATTTCTATAGATAATTAATTTTAGAACATTATCAGCAAATTTTGAGTTCTTGCTTTAGTTTTCTTTTAATATAGAACTTTTGTTCATTTTGGCAAACTTTTGATCCTGATATTTTCATTTAATTTACCTTAAATTTTTAAATAATAAAAAAAAATTCCATTACAGTCGAACCAATATTTCCATAATAATTAAAGAGTAATGACCTTTTGATTTTTAAAATATTTAAAATAATTCTCCATTTTTTTCTTATATTTCGGAACGAATCACTTAATATTATGATTCTGATAAAAAAATTTATAAAAAAAATTTCCTTAATCGTTTCAAAATTAAAATATTACACAAAATAATTTTAATAAGATTATATTTCGCCTATTTTCAGAAAGTCACGTTTCGGTGTTTAATGCATACTGATTTCATATATTCTATTAATTTATAATTTTACAGATAATATTATATATGTTATGGTACATACATTTTGTTTCAGTATATTAACCTTTTTATACCCTGCACGTTCGTGAAGGGTATACTAACTTTGATATTTAATTTGTAACCACTTGATGGAGTCATGTGCAGTATGGAGATGTATATAGATATATTCTTGCTCAGCGTATATTGCAATGTGTATTGTCTAGATTAGTAAAAGTATTCCAGAAGATTATGAAAATGCGTTTTGAAGATCTCTTTACAATTTTAAGGACACTAATAAGCTTTAAGTTAACATACCCAATTATAGGTCAGATATATTCCTGAAGTTCTGGTGGAATTGCTTAACAGGTTCGGGTACCTGCCATACAACTCAAAAAGCTAATTCTAAATTTTTTAAAAAATTATAAAGTCAAATACATGAAACTCGTGCTTCCATGAAGCTTTAATAGAATTGTTTCACAAGTTCAAGTAATTGGCATAAAATAATGAAAGGTGCAGGGTATAATACAATCGGTTTATACCGGCTGAAATCAGTATACATATATATATATATATATATATATATATATATATATATATATATATATATATATATATATATATATATATATTGCATAAGTATAAGGAAGCTCAATAAATTGTAATTTTATTGTACATGCATTTCATACACAAAAAATACGCAACAAATACTCTGTGTTTTTGTATTAGTAAGCTAAAAGTTAATACAGTTTTAGAATAATATAAGTACAACCCGAGCTTATTCGTTTTTACATTGTAAAAGAATTTCATTATCTTTTCTTATAAGTGTTATATTATATTCTGTATTAATATATTGTATTAACATCACACTGTATAATATTCTGTAAAATATTTTAATCTATTTTAAATTATACATTTTTCTTTTACGTAAATTTTTTAAACAGTATGTAAATATATACATACATACATCGATATTAAATTTGAAATAAGTAAATAATTTGTAAAATTATGCTTTACATGATGTTCAATATTTTGTTTTTAACAAATTATCAAACGTATACAGTTCATAATTTAAATTCGGGAATTCCCCTTTTTTAAAATGATTCAAATCAAATAGAGCAATACAAAATTGCAAAATTTTATGATTATTTTACTTTAGAAAAAAATAATGAAATTGATTATAGTAATTTGTTTTTCAAAAAGGGCAAATAGGGCAAATAGAAGATCGAAAGTAGAATTCTTATAACTTATTCGAAGAAAAATTATAATAGTGCTATTTACTGACTGCATTGCACACAATAAGGGAAATTATGTGATGGCAACAAATTTTGCATATCGAGTTTTCGGTGCGAAAGCACTTCTCCATGGTACAAAAGCATAAATAAACTATTTTTAGAGAGGTGTCGGTCTGTCTATCAGTGCGTGCACGCGTGTATTTCAAGTTTGACTGAACCAGTTTTTATGAAATTTTATATGTGAGTTTGTTTTGGCTATGTTACGGATTGATTAACCTTTGGAATTGGGAACTGGACTCTTTTGCGGACCGATTTTACTTTCTTGCCCATATAAAGAGAAATATTGAACCAATTTCCTTAAAATTTTAATTTTAAATTTAGAGTGTTAAAACAATAAACATATAAATTTTTTGAAATTATCAGGGTTTGGAAACCGAACTGCGAACCGATTTGACATTTTTTACCATATCAACGAAACGGATTGATGGAATTTCTTGAAATTTGATATTTGAGCTCTGGTTGTTTCCGAAACTTACTGGCAAGGGAATTCTTTTTTTCAGGAAGAGCCAAATTTATATTTTCAAAGGTATGTTAACTATAAGCTCACTAAAGTCCTAAAAATTGTAAAATCGTACACTTTTCAAAATTTATATAAATACAGAAAGCTAAAGGTAAATGTCATGCCATTAAAAAATATAACTATTTTTCTTAGCACACACTATTAAACATTGCAAAGAAAGCATACATTGATCATCCTAAAAGTATGCAATCATGTATGAATGAGTACACAGATTGTTTTCAAAAGCAGAATTTTCACTTGTTGAAGGGAGAAGTGCTACATTACAAAACATTGGTTTTGCACAACTTTATTTAAATGGCTATCCGGTTACCAAGCACGATTACTGGTTCTTTAAATTTTTGACAGTTTGTAATTTTTTTAAATAATAAAAATTACTTTTATATTTGTTGCAAATAATCTTTTCAAAAAATTTTAAAATTAAAATTAGAAAATTGTATTTTAAATTGATAACTATTTTAAAAGCTAGAATCAATATTTCAAATTATGTGATTACAAAAGGTCAGCACAAGTTACAAAGCAAATTGTTAGAACACAAAATGTTAATGAAAATGTTTTATATATTACATACATATATATTTATTATATGTGTGCGAACGTGAATATTTTAGTATTAAAATTTAGAATGAAAAAATTGTAAAGTAAAGTATCTAATATATTTAAGATACAGTAGAACTTCCATAAGGTGACCATTTAAGGACGAAAGAAAAATGGTAACCATATGAAGTTGGCCAACATGTAAAATGAAATTTTCTGCAAAATATCCTTAAAATATTTCTGCAAAAAATTTTGTTTTTGTATCTATGTGTTTATGTCTATGTGTGAAATATTTAAAGACAAATTATTCATATTAAATATGTTATCAAATATTAAAAGAATCACATTTAAATTGTTAATAAAAAGGATCCTTAAGGAAAATAACATTTATTTGACAATAATCTTAATAGTAATTTGCTCAAATAAAATCATTACACATATTTGTTGTTAAGTAAGATTAGTACGTGTTTGTAACATACTGATTAGGTGCAGTTGAAACATTAAACATTTCTCATTCATTTTCTTCGATTATGAATTTTTAACAAATTTCTTAAATTTAATTAGATTAGATTGAATTTCTGTTTTGTTAAATAAATTCGAAGAATATTCGTACATTCAAATACAATATTCATCAAATCGCGTACTATGTCGCGTAATAATGTCAAAGCTTGCCTTACCCAATATTTCAAATATCCCCAATATTTCAATATATCCCTTACCCAATATTTCAATATATGGTAATGTGTTCAACTATTCTACCATACATGTATGCATGTGTCTATAGTCACGTATAAATCGAAAATATTTTTTAATATTTAACATTTAAAAGCGCAGCGCGTTTAAGTTGAAAGATTATAATAAAATTGTAATTAAGATTAAAAAATGCAAAATATTATTTTAATAATTATTTCATATATGACAAAATTATACAATGTATTTAATGTTCGTGCTTAAATTGCAAAAATCAAAATCTCTATATAAGTCCTAGTATATGTAATAAATTCTTTAGTTTTGATACAACCATCGTTTGAGCAGTTTTGCATATAGTAAAACGGAAGCTGTGTGCTTTTCGTTGCTAAAGCTGCTATTTTTTTTTCTGATAGTGCACCTAGAATTAGATATCGATTTGTGGAATATTAATAATAATAATAATATAATTAACTAACAGTGCAAATATATTTTAAATCGTTATACATTAAAGTACTTCTGATTTGTTTAAAAAAACCTACTATAAAGATTGAATCCGCACAAAACTAATAAATTACATAATTTTAAAATCCTTAAGGTATTTATTGATATTTCGTAAATTTTTTTTAATAATATTTTTTGCTTATAAACTGTGTGCATCATAATTATTGAATTATTGTGTTTTAAAATTTTTGTTAAAACTCTTTTGCGGTTTCCATTTGATTTTAGTGTTAATTATTTTAGATATTGTTTCTATTTTTATTTTTCCAAATATGCTGAAAAAATTAAACGGAAACCATTAATATTAAAAAAACATATTTGAAATTTTGCTTGACTTTTTAAAACAAAATGCTCGCAAAATTATTCAGAATTTCTAAATTAAATCGCAGCTTTAAAATCTAATTACCATGAAATTATTTTAAATATTTAGAAAAGTATCTAATAATAATTAATGCCAAAATGCAGTTCGACTAAAAATAATTTCTTAAATGTTTTGTATAAAAAATAAAATAAAATTTAAAAATTATTAAAATAAAAATTATATTTGGAATTTTCTTAGTTAAAATGGTGAATATATTAAAAAATTTAATAACAATATTGATATTTGGGGTCTTTACAATTGACGGGTTAATCTATGATTCGCTAAAATCTAAATGGGATCCATACGATGTAATTAAAATTTCGAAATTTCAAGAACCGATTTGCTATCAAACACAAAAAATATCTCAAAATTATTATGGGATGTTAAAAGTTAAAGAAAGTCTGCATTTGGAAGCTGAAGATTTGCTGCACTGTGAGGTTACAAACCCTCACTTGAACATAAGAAAACCCAGAATGGGTAAGTAGTTTTTTTTTTCTTTTTGTTAAAAACTTGTAAATTTAAAATTATTTCATGATTAAAATCAGAATTTTAATTTTAGTTTGTAATTTTATAAATTATTGAAACCTTTTAATTAAGAACGGTGTTATACTCGTATAGCACATTCTATAGATGAAAATCTGAATACTTCTAATAAAAAAAATTCTTCTTGGAAATTATTACACAATATTTTCCTCCTTTTAGGTCAAACATTCTATTGCTCTGTAAATGTTGTCTTATATGATAACTTCGGTATAACTCCAGCGGTTTTCATTATTATGTTTGTAATATATTTTTTAAAACAGCAAATAATTCAAATAGAATAACATGTTTTCAGTTTTATATTACAGTTTTTGAAAAAAAACCTTTTAATGTTGTAATTTTCTATCCGAATTTTTAAAGCGAAATGTTTTATTTCTAATAGTAATGATTCACTCCTAAAACTAACACTTTTAGGTGTGAATATTTTTAATCGAGTTTTATTTAATTCAAAATTCTTGTTGTTGAAATTAATTTTTTTTGACACACTTCCAATAAACTATAGTACTAGTCAGTTCAATTTTCACTAGTACACTTGAATTATATTATACAGTAAATAATTTATGCTAACTTTCAAGATGAGAATAATAATTAGCGAATGTTTCATTAATGTTTCAACTAAACTATCGAAATGAATCGCTATGTAGCTTGGTTGTGGAATTTGAAAGCTGTTTTTTGTCTGGATAAAATTTATATAGAAAAAAATGGCATTGTTAAGATTTTGTGGGACTATAGCTTTTGGAGGGTAAAGGTTAAAATTTTCCTCTAGAGAAATAAGTTTCAGTGATAAGAGTGAAACTAAATAGCATATTTACTACTCAATTTTTTTTTGGAAATATTGTAGAAATTTAGTACATTTTTTATGTTCTGGATTTAACGTTTTCTTCTGAGTTATTTATATTTTATATGAGTCAAAAACATTATATTTTTTGAATAAACGAGTCTAATATTGTTATTATTTTTATTATCAGTTATTCACACAATGGGATCAACAAGTGACCCGTCGTCTGTTACGAAATTTTCCAAACCCACCGATAAGGATTGCTTTTCTTTTTCAGTAAAAACAAGCGGTGTTGCATATATTTATTTATATACCGACCTGAGTATCTTTACTTATAAAACAGTTACTTTAGGTATTAAAAATAATACCAAATCGCTCTTAAGCGATAATCATCGAACATGTACCGCTTGCCAGCCAGTTTCAACTATGGGAATCTTAGATCCTCTGGAATTTAGAGGATTTTGGATTTCGTGGGACGACGATCAAATAAAGGTCGGTAAGGAAGGAGAGAATGATACGATAATAGAAAATAGTTTTTATGGTGGTATCGGAAAAATCCGGTACATTGGAATAGCAACTCCAGGGAGTTTGGGTCATAGCACTTGGAAAATAGAAGGTAAGATTTTTCGTAAGAGATCTTTTTCAAATAATGTTTACGAAAATTTTTTTTCGATTGATATCGTGATATTTTAATGAATTCACTATATAAAACCAATATAATCGAAACTAGAATTAGTTTAGTACATATACATACATATTTAATTTAATATACTTTGCAAGAGTTATTATTATTTTTGTGCTATTTATAATGTTCCGAAAATAAATTCAAGTTACAATCAAAATGATTGCTAAATTCAAATACATAATTATTTAAGCAAATAAAAATTAAATCACTACATTTTACTTTCAAGAACCATCATGTCCGGAAATAATAAATGCACCAGATAAAGAACGAACGGTGTTAACAAGCTGTCATAAAATATTTGACAAAAATGCACTAAGTTTAACTAAATATTCTGATGAACTTAAATTATTAAAACAAATTCAAGCCTTAGAGGCAGAATTTATGGTAGAAAAAGTAGAAAATAAATTGAATTTAAGTAAAATTTATGATTATTATTATAATAATCTAGATGACTTTTATTTCAAAAATTATATTAAACTAATAAAATATTGTAAAAAAAAATGCAATGAGGAAGTGTTGCAAATAACTGGCAAAACAATTGAAAATTTAAGAACGGTACTAAAAGAAAAAATAGAGGAATTAGCTGCAATTCCACAATGTTCTGAAAATGGTCATTTTGATGATTTATCAAACGAATGTGTTTGTAATGATCGTTATGCTGGTGATGGTATTCATTGCGGATCAGATCAAGATCAAGATGGCTTTCCCGATGAAAGTATTTTAGATTGTATTGATAATCCAAATTGTGTGAAGGTAAGATATTTTAAATAAATGAAGAATTTTTGTTCAAGAACTTTTTACATATAAATTGATATAGAATATGTACAGGTAATATGGATCAAGTAGGTAATTCGCAAGTCTCGTTTCATCAAAAATTTCTCGTTGAATAAAATTTATAATAACTAATGAATTAAAGCGAATCGCATTCAATCACATTAAATTTTGATTCAACTTGGAAATTTATGTACGATTTGTTTTTTTTTTTTTTTAATTTTGCTCACTACTTTTTACAAGCACGATAAAATTTTCGATTGGTCTGAATTTATTATCCTAGAAAGTTGTTTTTATAGCTAATTACTAAAATTTCTTATTCAAATTGTGCAAATTCAAACGGCAGTAATAGAAATAAGAATTGGTATGAATATCACAGAGATGAAACAAATTACTCAACAATTCTTGATATTTTAGCGAAAGAAAAAGACTACGTCATATTACCTGCATTTAACCCAACTGTATATAACTGTAATTTCTACCAATTCAATTAATATTTTTAAAAAATTAAATTTAATTAAAAAAGAAGTAAATTACATTTTTTTTATAAAAAAAAACTTAAGATTTTACATAAGATGAAACAAAAATTTCGTTTTTAGATTTTAACTTATAAGCATATTACAATCAATTGAAACGGTATAATAAAAAATTTTTTTTGTTACCTATAGGATAATTGCCCTTATAATTTTAATCCCAATCAATATGATGAAAATTATAATGGAATTGGAGATATATGTGAATTTGATTTCGTACCTAAAAGTTTAACATATTCGGATAAAAGTCAAAATGATTTAAATAATGAACAAGAAATGCATTGTGCAGATTTGGCCAATATGATTGAAGCAACAGGAAAAAATTGTGTTTTTGAAATTGATTTTAAAATATCGGAAGATTATAAAGAAGATTATGTGCTTTTAATGTTTTCCCAACAAAAATCACAAAAATCATTCATACTTTCTTGGGGTGACTACTATTTCAAAAGATTCCAATTAGATAAATATGATAATGAGAATGTGTCAAATGTCAGCTATGATGATTTAAAAAATACAGAAAATTTAAGGCCAAGCTCAAATCGTTATAGTTTTGAAATAGGAAAAAATTATCGTATTGTATTATTTTATTCGTATAACAAATTACAAATAAGGTATACTTTTAATTATTCAGTCAATTAAATTTTTTTCAAAGTGTTAATTACAATTAAGATAATATTAAATATTTTAATTTTAGAATTCTAGATGCGAATGGTACAATTTTGGAAACAACCGATATGAATATCGTGGAAATTGATAATAATGAACCTATTGAAAAAATTTGTTCTATATCGGGCAAAGTAGATTGGCGAAATGCGAATCATCGATGCTATTGAGATATGCAATGAGCTTAAAAATTATATGGAATTGAATATTTTTACAATTTTTCTTACAATTTACTGTTGTGTGTTTTGAAATTTGTAATAAAATATTTTTTGATTTTTTGAAAATTTTAAGCTTTCATTTAATTGTAGATATGTGAATTTTGTAATGAATAATTTTACTCCCAGTAATTTCTTTATTAGGAAATTATTAATTAAGGCAAACAATTTGATTTTTCAAGATGGGAATGCAAATTATTTTGATAAAAATTTTATATTTTCAATTTTTCTCTCACTAAGTCACAATTTAACTCTAAAATTTTTTTAAATTCTAAATCTATTTATAGATTAGAATTATGGTGTTCACCTTCAAAATATTGAAGTAAAGAAAACGTTCAGCATAGTTCAAATATGTAGCGGAATATATTACAAAAATCATAAAATTAATGTTGAAACTTTTATTTTATTAATGTTAAATGTAAAATTCAAGAAGAATTTTTAATAACACAATCGATTATTGTACGTTAGCAAAATGAAAAAAAAAAATTTAAATGATATTTCTTAAGCATTTTTGTCATTTTTATGTTAAGTCATACCGAAAAGTTTTGTAAGAAAAATGTAAACTCAAAAAATGTTATACTTATAGTCTGTGTATAACCATGTAATATGTACATATATGATGTATTATGTAAATATTTCTGTAAAACATTCGTGAAAAATTAACATGTATTTAGGTTTGCACAAACATATTAATATTTTTTACTGAAATGTTTGTAGAAATTTCTTGCAAATCATACTTATTGCAAAAAAATCTGATGCGGTCAGCACATAACCGACCATTGTATTTTCTAGGTTAGTGAAAATGTTACAGAAGGTTATATGAAAATGCCAATTTTGAACAATTTTAAGGAAATTAGTTATTTTTTGGTTAACATACTTAGAAATGTGTAAATTTAGCTCGGAGTAGAATTACAAAGAAATTTTAAAGAAATTCCAGAAAATATCAAATTTCATGTAGGTAGAAAATGTAAGAACGGCTCCACAGTTCAGTTTCCAATCCTTGATCTTTCCAAAAAAATTATGGGTTAATTGTTTAAAAAACTCAAAATTAAATATTAAATTTCAAGGAAATTGGTTAATTATTTCACTTTATGTATGCAAAAATGTAAAATTTATAAAAAGGTTAAGTTCGCAAGGTCTGACGTATCCCAAAAGTAAATCGATCCGTGCCATAGCAAAAATAATCTCATATAAAAAAATTTGTACACACTATGACAGACCCTTCTAAAAATAGTTTACTTATGCTTCCAAATTATGTAGAAGTGCGTTCCCACCGAAAAGTCGACATCCGAATTTTGGTTCCATCACATAACCCGATGAAAAGTGGTGATAAAAAAAAAGTCGATAAATTTTCTAATAATTTATTTTTTTTCCAGTGCTGAAGATATTATATGTATTGCTTTTAAAAAATATATTATCAATATAATCAAACCAGCCAATTTTCCAAATCTGGTGTAGTTGAAACACAAAAATGATATTCTTGTCTACTAGTAAAGCAATAAAATATTTTAAAACGTTAAAATTCGAAATGCAATTTACGATTAAGTATAAATCATTAATGAGAAATAAATGTCATTGTTCAATTACTTTGAGTTGCTGAACATAATCTAGGTCAAATTTATAATTTTATAAATCAGTAAATAATTGAATTTATGAAAATTTTTTTAATTTATTTAAATTTTAGATACTTTACATCAGCCTCATTAATAAACGACATATTTGAAAAATTAATTTGAAAATATTCAAATCGGAATCGATCTGAAATGTGCCTTTTGTTATAACTAGAGCTATAACATATGTTTTTCAAATAAATTAGAAAATAAATTCTTGTTATATATCATGTGTATAATCTATTATACGAGTATAAATGAGAAAATTTCTACTTATTTATCAGTAAGGCTTACTTCTTTATTATTAAATAAGTTTTTACAATTAATTTGCCTATAGCAGAATGGACAGACACAGCTTTATGGTAATGAGCTTACTCTCTTATTTTAATAAATTTATTGGCAGAATTTTTGTTTGCAATGTGTTAGAAATTTAAGAAAAGTTTAAACCCTTTTCCTTATATTTTTTTTTCTTTACTTTTAATATTTTGTCTAGTCACAATATTCATTGTAATATGTTCAAAGAATTTTAGTGTAACTTGTGAAAAAAAAATCTTAATGACTTTGAAATATTTATCTAATCTTCTTGCAAATATGCAAAACAAAAAATCAAGAAAAAAAAAAAAGAAAATTTGAAAAAAATTTTTTACAATCTTTAATATCGGAAAAATAAAAAATTTTTGGTATATCATCGTTATTATTTACCTGAGACTCTTTTAATCCTTTAGTCCTTTAACAAAATAATTTTCATGTTATGCATAAGATTTTTCATATTAAATTCATGAATTTTTTAACTTATTAAATAAATTATTGCGAGTTTTTTGATAAGATTGATTCACAAATTTTATGAACTCCAATTGATATAACAGTAAAAATTTTATCGTATATAAGAGTTACAATATAAACATGCTAAAAATTATTGGACTGCCACAGCAATTATATTATTATGAGATTAATGTTAAAAGCTAGCTGTATGAGTTTAATATAGTTTTACAGTTGTAAACTTCAATTTAATGTTAAAATAAATTCTAATTATATTGGACCTGTTGTTTTTGTTTTTCTGTTCTCATTATTAAAATATGAAACACATGTTTTTGGACAGTGTATATGGTAATTTCATTCATAATTGTATTCAAAGTGAGCAGAAAGGAAATAAAAATGTAAACAATTTGCAGGAAATTATATGTGTATATATGTATATTAAATATATGAAAGCTTTTCTGTAATAACGCATGCGTGCAAAAAAATAATAATTTCTGTATTAATTTATCGTCGTACATACTTATATATACAATCCATTTAGAATGATAAAAAGAAAATCTATATTAACATTTCCTTTGAGGCATAACATAAATTCTATTAGTGCTATCAAGTTAATGCAACAAGGAAGATGTTTAAAAAATTTTTTTGTACTGCTGAAAATTTTGGAAAAATTCAAAATCGTATAGCTACTTTTGTCAAATCTCTTAAAAACTACCTTTCTTATATGCGTATACAAATGTAACTACATTACACATTTCTTCTGGTATATCAATTTAAAAAAAAAACTTTTGTATTTGATTTTAAGTAACAATATTTAAGTTTATAATCTTAAAAATAAAATAATCCTAAATGTTGAATAATAACTCTTCTACTTGTCGTTCTAAGCATCCAATATATTAAATTTCTTAAAAAAGTTTTTAAAATATTCGGTTATTTTAATATTTTTCTCAAATCTTTAACACAACAAAACCGTCATTACCCAAACTGAATCAATATTACTGTCAAATCCTTAAGATTTGCGATTATGAACAGTTTATATCGAATTCATTTAAGTAATAATGAAACTCTAAATAATATCACATTTCAACTGAGTCTTTAGTAAATTTTAATTAAAATATTATAAAGGCAATTGAAGTGAAGCTTTAGCTGACATAATTGTAATAATAAAATGGTAAGTACATAAATGAGTTTAAATGTTTCCATAACTTCATAAATTCCGCGGATCATGTTTTTTCTAATTCTGATGTTTTACTTACATAATATATTTATATTTTGTTCCTAAATTTTAGGTAAAGGAAAAGATGAATTTATTTAGCACAATTCACTAGATTATTATGTATATTATATTCTTGATGGTAAATTAAAGTACTTTCATTTAAAAAATATTGAATAGAAATCTAGATTGAAATGAAAATTTTAACAACTTTTTAATATCATAACTTTGATAAAATGCTTTGCTCTATGTATGCCGGTAATTCGTGGTTCTAATAAAGAAAACTTAATTTTTTAATTATTATAAAACATCTGGTAACAAAACTGAGCTTTAAGTATTTTTACAATTGTTTTTATATCTAATAAAAGCAACAGGATTTTTCTTTCATATGAAATTTAAAAATAATATTGCAAATATGTAGTCAGTGTTAACAAAAGCCAATAAAAATCTTTCAATTTTATTTGCTTTGCAACAAAGATTTCTCTAATACAATATTGAGTACCTAAATACTTTTATAAATAAACTGTATTTTTATATTTTATGTGCATATTTTCTACAACATATTAAAAAAATAAAGTATATACAGATGAGGACATTAAAAGCGCGGCATTGAAAATAAGAAAAATATTACGATATTAAATTTTGCGATTTGTGACAATAAAAGCAATAATATCATGGAATATACTTTCTATTTTTTTAAGTACAACCTTTTACGAAATAATTTGTACAAAATATGTTGTAAAATATTTTACAGTCATTTAAACTGAAAGAGATTTTACAGTCAGTTAAATTACTATTGCAAGTTTAATTAAATTTAAGTTTTATAAAAATATTATAGGTAAGCGAAGAGTAACAAATTGTTAAGATAAAAAATTATTTCAACTTAAATAGAAGTAGAAGTTTAGGTTGTACAAGATAGGCTCTTTGAAAACTTCATCATAATGCTACAGTAATGTTTTATATAAAATCTTTTAATTGTCGTAAACTGAAAATGATTTTCATTAAACAGACATATTTTGTATATTTTTTTCAATAAAAAATGTTTATAACTTTCAAACTTTTAAATCTGATTTCTTTGATTTATACCTTGATGTGCTTCACAGCTTTCGCTGAAATTCTAACTAATTTTTGAAAAAAATCTTTCAAAATATTTAATAAATATGAAAAACCCGAATAAAATGGTGAATATATTTTTGATAAACAAATTATGATATGTTTGTCTCTTAATTAAATTATTGCTTTTTGATAAGTTTCATGACAACTGATTATACAATTGAAAGTAAGGACTTTTTAGGCAAGTTTTCTTTTTCAAAAGTCGAAATTTGCAAATTCATACTACAAGGGCCACTAATCAAAACACATATATACTTTTATAATATTAATATGTCAAAACGTATACAGTCATTTCTAAAATTATTAGTGTGCTGGCAAATTTTTATATATTGTGTATTACTTTCTGTAATAATCAGCTGTAATTTTGTTAAAAT